TGGATGGATGGATGGATGGATGGATGGATGGATGGATGGATGGATGGGTGGGTGGATGGATGGGTGAATGGATGGATGGATGGATGGATGGATGGATGGATGGATGGATGGATGGATGGATGGATGGATGGATGGATGGGTGGGTGGATGGATGGATGGTCGGATGGATGGGTGAGCGAGTGATTCTCAGCCTCCCCAAGTCTTGGGAACGGCCCCATGCACTTCCCCATCCTCCCAGCAGATGGCGGCAAAGGAGCGGCCAAGCCAAGCCCCGGAGCCCGCCGTCCGGCTCCCGGGCTCGCGCCCTCCCCTGAGCTCTGCAACACAGGTAGCTTGAATTTTTTTTCCCCCCCCAGGAGGAAGCAAGAGTTCGTGTTAATCGACTGTAGTTCCCTCTTCCTGTCTGAGCCCTCTCATCTCAGGTTTCTGCTCCAACTCAGAAACCAGGATGTACCGAGAAATAACGCCCTTGATGTCCAATAAAACCGGCCCAGAAACGGCCTGCAGATCAGCAGACAGAGGAAAAGGCACCGTGTCCCCGGCTCCCCGGAGCAGACACGCAGGCTGTCGCCAAACACTGGCCTCACCACCCACGCTTTCCTTGTGATGGGCCTGTGAGCAAGCCTGGGTGGGGGGGAGAGTTCGGAATAGAGGCTGCTGGGGGATTCCTTGGTTTGGGGGGGCTGTGAAGAGGAGGTGTCCTCAGCTCCCAGCATCTTGTTTGGAATCAATCTTGCTGACACCAGGAAGAAATCCATCCCGGAGGAGCCGTGTAGGCCGAGAGGGATTTATGGGGGCCGGACTTGGGCGGCGAGGGTTTCCTGGCACATCCTGTTTTCTCAGAGCGGGGGAAAGAGGAACCAAGTCCCTCTCCCGGGAACATTCCACGGTGTCTGAGCCGGGCCTTTATGTGCTTGTGAATTGTCATGTGTTTGTCTGAATAAAAAGCGAAAGAAACTCCAGAGGGACGCCTGGTAGAAGACGCGGGCGACATTTAAAAATGCGTTCACTAGCTACCCTCGGCCTTGCCAGGTAGGGGGGTCCCTGAATGTTCAGACTCCCCCCCACACAGGTTTTGGGTAGGCGCCTACTTTGTTCTGGGCTCCGCTGGGCAGTAAACATAGAGGGGATTGTCTGCATGGAAAGAGGTCCCCGCGTTCATGGCGTTAATTTTTACCCCGGGAGAAGGCTGGCTGGGGGGGGGGGACCCTCTGACCCCCAACTATCTCCCTGCAACATGTACACGTCTGTCTCCCCAAATTCAGAGCCCCAGTTCCACTGGGTGTGTCTTTAATGAAAAAAAACAAAAAACTAAGTCCTTCTGAAGATCTGAACAAAAATGAAATCTGCCCTTTGCGCCATGTCACTGTGATGTCTGTGGAGGTGGCTTTGAGGGGGTTCAGAGGCTGGGGAACCCCCAACTTGGACCCCAGTAGGGGACTCCTCTGCCACTCCTTTCACCCTAGATCTTGAATGGGGAGGAATGCAATAAAAAGTAACTGTTTTATGCAAAGGGGTTTCCTTTTATTACCCGCGCTAGTCCGGCGGGGCCGACGCCAGCAACAGGAAATTAACGCAGAATTCATCGGGGGTGATAATGACTGCTCCTAATCATTAGGTTAATAAGTTAATATCATTAATTAGTCAACTAATTAGACAACGCCTCAGGCCTTTAGGGTCTGGAGGCTTCCATTCAAAATAAGTGAAGAAATCGTGTCCTTAGAGAAGGTGAGAGATAGAGACCAGAAGAGCTAGTCCCTAAAGCTGGATTCGACCCCGCAGAGACCCGAGTCTGCAGGGACCACCCTAAACACTCCCCACATTTCTTTCCGTCTCCTGAGCAATGATCGGGTCTTAATTCGGTCGGGCCCACACCTGGCTGAGAATCTGAGGGTAATCGCAGCGCCTCCCCCCTGCCCAGCCTGCATATATGCTCAGTAACCAACTTTTGTGTGTGATTCCTGAGAATCCACCGACGCCAGGAGCTCTGGCTCCAGCTCCGAGCCCCAGCCCTGGAGACCGCCCCGGAGCGGGCGCCAGGAGGGAGGCCTGGGGTTGATTGGGGCGCTGGGCGCGCTATTGGCAGACACTTTCTCAGGGCAGGCTTGCACCTCCGCTCTGTGACGGGGTTGGGACGGCTGGGGGTGGGGGCGACTAAAGTAACAACA